GGGGACATTTAAGACGCTGGGCTTGGGGATCTGATCCCTTGCTTTCAGCCTGGTTGGAGAAGGCCTTGGCAGACTAGGAGATGGATAGACACCGTTATCCACCCATCACTGTGATCTCCATCAGAGGTGCCCTTATCAGCCAGATCCGATTGCCTAGACCTACTCCACAGACAAGATCCGGATTTCTCTAAACTGGGGTAGGAAGAGAAGGCGAGGGCTGGAGGATCGAGTGTGCCACCTTGCACCGTGTTAATTGTTTTCTTTCCTCTCGATTACATTCAGAAACCTCTCTTCTGCGTTGCATGTTATTTCTTTGTGCTTTAAAATTGAAACCACGTGCAGCCTTCTCCCCTTTGCGCACACACAATAAACGCACTGCCCCCTCCCCCAGCCCATCACACAACTATTTACATCTTGGTTACTCACTCAGGCTCCTCCGGCCCAGAGAGGAAATTGGCCCCTTGGGACTAGGTGAGGCTTTGCGAAAGCCCATCTCAAATCCGTATCCTGGGCCCCCCTCAGCGCCCCGCCTCCACCCTCTCTTTGCACAGGTGGTTGAGGCTTACTTTGGGGAGAGCTAGCAGGGGGGACAGCCAGGGAGAAAGGGAGCTGTGTCTGGCCAGACCCAGGGGCTGCTGCTGCCCGCACACCAGCGGGGCCAACGGGGCCAGCGGTGGAGGCGAGTGAGCCTCAGCCGCACCCCGTCCCAGTCCCAGCGCTGGGCGCAGTGCAAGCCGCGCAGGGAGCAGTCCCCACCCAGGTCCTCCCTGGCAAAGAAGTCCCACCACAAGTAAATAAGTCAGTAAATAAATAGGCAAATAAATAAATAATCTCCGAAGTGGGGAGGAGGGAGCTTGGAAAAATGGATTCGCTGACAGGGAGAGATAATAAATGAGAGGCGCTTTCAGATAGATATCTCAGACGTGAAATTGCGCCCAGCTGGTTGTGTAAGCAAACAAATAGTTTCATGTTAGGAACTCTCAACTTGTGGCTTGATGAATAGAACACGACAGAGGTAAATGGGTCTTTAACTCATTTAGGAATACAACTCTTTGGCTTTCCAAGTTGCAGGCGCAGGGGCGGCGGAGGCTGAGCAGGCCTCTAACAAGAGTTTTATTAGTTGCCACTGGTGTCTCCCTGCGCACCCACCCCGCGGCCCTCCAGGCTCCCCCGTCTGCAGACATCCCTGCGATTTGTTCTGAGGGATCAGGGAGTTTCTGGAGGTGACCTACATTGTGGGCGATATAAGGACTGCGAAGAAGAGGAGGAGGAAGATGAGGAAGAGAGAAGGAGGAGAGGGAGAGGAAAAGGAGGAGGAGGAGGAGGAGGAGGAGGAGGAGGAGGAGGAGGAGGAGAATGATTAAAAAATGAAAATAAACTTTTTGCACGCCCCAAACAGACAAGCTCAGGTGGGTGCCCAGTGCCCTTGAACGCACAGCCAGCCCAGGGTGGAGTGGCCTCTGGGATCTGATCATCTGAGCCCCTTTCGGTCGCCAGAGACAGCTCACCCACACCAGCCTGGGGGGCAGAGCCTGGGAACACCCCCCCCCCCATCCCACCCTGGCTTCTACCACGCCTGGGGGCAGGTTGGGGTGTCCCGTGGGGCAAAAGTATTGGAACTCCCAGGAGCTGGGTCCTGTCTGGCCTCAGAGAAGGCACAGCCGCACTCCCCAAAGGTTCCCGCAGGAAGGCACCTCCATCCGAGGTGGCCTTTTTGATGTTTTCAGCAAAGCTTGTAGTTTAAACTGACTTCAAAGCCCTCTAAGTTCTGGTGGCTCAGCAAATGTTTCGGTTGGAAAAGGGGACGCTTGGCTTTCAGATGTCACAGGTAATTCCCGGAGGGGAGTCCTCTTGTGTGGGCTGCTCTGCCCAGATGCATTTCGCTGGGGACCTGTGGGGGACCCCTGGCCTCTGCCTCCCCCATCCCCCCAGCCTCCTCCCTGACTCCTCAGGCCGGCCCAGGCTGCAGGGGTGCAGGAGGCTCTGGCCTCACCGGCCTTCGGCCTCACACCGCCCTAGTGCTCAGTCACCGCCTGCGGGACTCCAGGCGGCCACCCAGGTAGAGGCTCCCACCTGCTGCTGCATCGCCTCCTGCCAGGCAGCTTCCAGGGCCCGGGGAGGCGTGGAACCCGAGAGGGGCAGCCTGGCTGCTGCTGGAGCTGCCCCTGGGCACTGCCAGGAGGTCCGCACCTTGGCCACTGTTCAGCCCTGCCCGGAAGTCTGTCCATCGGAGCCCAAAGGACCGACCATTCCTGGGGGTGAGAGGGCTCAGGCCCAGGCTCTGATGCCTGGACCTGGCTCCTAAACCTCCCCTGAACGCAGGCACATTCAGGGGGCTGACAGCTAGAGAAAGCCGCCTGTCCTGCCCCCAAGGCCCCTGAGTCCCGGAGGCTCCATCTCTCTGGTGGAGACACACAGAGACCCCTGGAGACTGTCTGTGTGTTAAGCAGGTGAGGATGCCCCAGTAGCCTCAGAGACAGTAGAGGAGGAAAGCACTGCTGGCAGCCCCCAGCCTGCCGCTCACCCCAGCAGCAGAGCGCCCCTTCTCCTCCCTGGTCCAGCCCCACAGACTCCCAGTTTTCAGCCTGAGCCTGTGGGGAGCTCTGTGAGGCCCAGGATGGGCTGCTCCTCTTCCCATGCTGGCTCTTCCAGGGGTAAGGTCCCAGGGACCCCCAGGCAGTGGGCAGTGGGTGCCACTCCAGCCTGCCTGGCCAGCCACCTTCGTACCGACGCCTCTGGACCCTGGAGCGGGTGCCTCCTACAGTCCAGGCCTTGGCTTCTGCCAGTCCCACACTGCGTGCCTTGTGTGTGGGCCTCCATATTGAAATTAATTGAAAAATACGTTTCCAACCTATGAAAATGTTTATCTGTTTTCATCAAAGGGATCACACTGTAATGAATATATTTACATCTCATTTGGAGAAAAGCAGGAAAGATGGGGAGCTCTTGGGGACACAGCGTGGCTTCCCCTCTCTCACCCCCCTGGGCCCTGGCTCTGCCATCAGCCTGGAGGACGTCTTGGGAGGCCGTCAGGGGTTAAATCCGAGTTCTCCCCAGGACCCAACTGCCTTGGGTTGCCCTAGGTACAAAGACAGTGCTCCTGAGTGTGGTGTGAAGGATGAGGGACATTTCTGAGTGGGACCAGTGGGCTGGAGTGTAGGAGCTCGTTAATGCATTTTTAATGGAGTGGGGTGGGGACCTGGAGACTTCTAGATAGCATATTGAAAGCAAAACTTTGTTAATTGCTTCTAAAAGTGGTGTGCTAGCTTGAAAAGGGCCTGTTTGGGGCTGGGGAAGGTGGAGGGGGGTGAGAGGTGTTATTTTAAAAGATCTGGCTTTATTAATATGGGTAGAAAACGCTCCGTTGGCAGTATGTGTTCTCCAAGCGCCGCCTGTGATCCTGTAAAAACATCCCTGCTCTGAAAGCTGTAAGAGAGCAGCCATGCCCATCCCAAGCACACCCAAGGAGAGGCCTGGCGGGAGCTTCTGCCCTGCTGGGCCACTAGGACCCAAACACCCCTTCTGAAGAGGACCTGTTCCAGCCTAGCTCCCCGACTCCAAGGTCTCAGGCTCACACCCTTAAGGCCACAGCAAGGCCCTTCCACTCTCCCCTCCCCCAACACACCTGGAGGGCCCCGCATGGAGCCCCTGTCCTGGGGTATGGAAAAGGGCAAACCCTCCCCACCCCTTCAGCGGGCCATAGAGGGAGCAAAGCCAGGGCTCCCAGCACCTCTCCCCCAGGGCCAGGGAGAGGCCAGACCCTCCCATCACCGGCATGAGGTACAGTGGTGCCTGAGCAATCCTTTCCCTCCCTTGACCCTCCTCTCCTAGTGCGTCACACCCCTACAGCCAGCGAAGTTCCCACGTGCAGTCCCGGAAGCAGGTGGTGCCTGAGCCTGGACCAGCCCTAGGACCAGGTCCGCCAGCCCGAGGCCCAGCTGCACGCGGGACCTCTACAGCCCACCACACCGCCCACAGGGACACAGGGAGGCTTGCAGCCACGGCTCCCTGTCGTCCCTGACCACAAGGGCCCACGCAGCGCCTGGCCCTCTACATTTACAAAACCAAGCGCTGACTTGGCTTCGGAAATAAACCTAGCCAACTTGGTACTAGACCTTGAAATTTTCCCCCTCCTAAGCCCACCCCCACTCCAGTAAGAACTGGAGTGGAGACTAATTGGAGTGTTCCTTTGCACTGATGACATCTGTCGAACAACCAGACGCGTGGGTTTTTGCTAAATTCTTTTATTTTTGTTTAAATTTTCACTTCAATTTTAATTCTTGAAGAACAGCCTTGACAACATATATCGCACTCGTTATAAGAAGCAAAGGGTTATATCAAAAATTATTAGTATAGAATCACAGGAAATCTGGTTTGGAACCAGAAAAAAATACAAAACAGATATAGATACATAGACACAGGACAATTTTTTTTATAATTATTTGGAAAATGTTATTTTCCCCTAATTCTTGTTTCCTTTTTTTTTTTTATGTGCATACGATGTTTAAATTTTACAAAAAAATGAAAATAAAGACTAGTATCTTACAAAATGAATAACAATGTTTGGGGGGGGGATGCGTGTGTGTTTCTACATAGGATTCAGTCCACTTCCATGTGTTGTTTTTCTGTACAGAATATATCCACATCCGTCCACAATAAATCCTGGAAGGTCCATTAGTCTCCTTCTGTTTTATTAAAATTCCTCATGGTCCTCTCTTCCAAAGATTGTTTTCTTTTTCTCACCAGACACAAGGTCCTGTTCCTTTCCTTCCCAGTGGGTTCACAGATCTGATCCTAAGAGTCTCTTTTTCTCCTGGATTGTAGCATTTCTGTAGGGCGGGCTGCTCCTGCCTTCCCGGCCCCCCTTCCCCCCTGCCCAGCCTGCCCAGCACGCTGCACCCTGCATCAGCTGCCCGATGTCCCCCAGGCTTTGGAGTCCACAGCCCTGCAGGTCCTCTGAGTCTCTAAGGAGGTGGGGGCAGGTGGGAAGTGCCCGAGGATTAGGAACACTGGATGGACATGTAAGGCCAGTTGAAGCTGCTCCCGGACAGTAACATATCGCGGATGAGAGTTTCGATGGGGGTTTTACCTACCAAACGGACGAAGAACAGCTGCTCGATGACCGAGGAGGACACCGTGCGCAGGGAGGGCAGGCGCAGCAGCAGTTTGCCGAAGCGGCTGGGCTGGTTGGGGTACTGGCTCCTCACGTACTCCTCCAGGGCACACTGCGACTTCTCCTGCAGGCTCTCGATGTGAGCCGCGTCCGACAGGCCACAGGCGTCTGCCCGAGCGGGAGCCCCGGGAAGGGAAGAGAAGGGGAGTGGGCACATGGTCAGGTCGGTGAACAGCAAAGGCACAGACAACAAGCCATTTAAAGAATCTTGTTTTTTTTAGGAGTAAAGGAGGAAAAAATGGAGAGAAGAGAAAATGAAAGAAGCCTACCCCTCCATTCTTCCCCACTCCTCAACCAGCCCCAAAACAAATAAAATAAACCAACCCCCCACCACGCCCAGGGGGGCTGGAGAGAGCAGCACACACAGGCAGAGGCAGCAGCCTCTCCCCTCCCTTTGTGCTTCCTCTTTCACCTTTGGATGAAGCATTGTACGATGCTGGAGCCATGTTTGCTGCGCGGAGCAACCTGTCTCTGCCTGCAGGGGAGCATCCCTGCACCGGGCTCATTAGAGGCTGGACGTTCACCCCACTACCCCCTGCTTTCTGGGGGTTCAGGAGCCCCGAAGAAATGTGCAGCCTGAAGGCAGTTCCTAAAGGCTTCGTGGAGGCCCCCTCTCAGCCAATGACCCCAACCAGAACCCTCAAGGAGAACCTAGATTGTGTCGTGAACAAGCACATAAGAGCAGGCAGGGCACCCTGGGCTGGCAGTGCCTGGGATCAGATCAAGCCCAGGCTTTAGCAAGAGAGAGGATTTGAGATCCACTCTCCATGCAAGCAAAGACTCTGCAGCACAAAGCCTTGGTGAGGGTGTACGCTTCTATCTGCGCCTTAGATCAAGTAATTGAAAATTGGTCACATCTCTGTAAACTGTATAATGATCAGGAAGAATGTGGCTCAGTTATTCCAGGCTGCGGAAAGGAGACATCTTTAGGATCAGACACAAAGCTGGGCTAGAGGCAGCAGCTGCTGCTACTGCTTCAAACTGGAAGATGGGGAGTTGAGGGGGGATCTAGGGAGATAGGCTTCCTTTACAGGAACCACGGGAAATGGGGGGAGGCACCTACACGCAAGGACAGCATCTCAAAACCTGTGTGTTTATTTCATCGATAAACCAAGGCTCCTCTTGGTCTCCTAAAAATATTTCAAGACAGCAGTGTATACTATATCAACTAACTGGAGGCAAGCAAATGGAGGTGGTGGAATCAGGGGAATGAGGAGAAGGCTCCCTCCCCTAGTTTTAAGGCCTATGTTGTTTCTTATATTAATAATGAATATTTCACAAACAGGAAGATCTCATAGGGACCCTTAGCCAGTCAGGAGGTTGACTAGAGATCAAAGGCAGAGTTTGCTAATATATAGATCTGGGAAGAAATCCATGCACTGCGGCGATGCCCCTGGAAGGACACTGCATATTTGTGAATGGGCAAGTGTGACCCTACAAAGAAATAGCGAATGATTCAAAAGTGAAACCTGTGTCTGCTAGGTTTCTGAGCTTCATGTCGTTATATTTCAAGAACTGGGGCTTATCAAACATCCTACCACCTTCATTTACAAGGCTATGGCCTTGAGCAAAAAATACAAATAAAACTAGTGATGATGATTCAAGAACTTCTGAGGCAAGTGTCCTTTGACCCCGGATCCAGACTGGGTTCCTGTCAGATGTCTAATTACTCCAGCCAGCTGCTAGGGTGCATCCACACCCGCCTGCCTTGGGAAATCAGTCAGGTTTTATGGCTGGCAGGGCGCAGGCAGGAGCACTTTGGGGCTTTGCTCCTTAGAGAGGAGACCCCGAGGTCTGCCCTTGGCCCTGCTTGCTAACCTGGCTCTGCTGAATAGCCACCATGCAGACTCATATTTACATATATCTTGCTTTACATGCATTATCTGCCCATTATTCGTCAGGATCCCTTTCAGCCTCAGACAATGCAAAATGAAAAGGACCCACTGATACGCCAGCAGATTTTTTTTTTTTAAAGACCCATATGGCGTCCCTTCAGGTCCGTAAAATATTTATCTGATATTTATGATGAGGGACCCCAGAGTGCAAGGTCACTACCCTTCTCCCAGCAAGGCCATGCCAAGGGAAAGAAGCCCAGGAAAGTCTTGCCTGGGCCCTGTGCTGGCTGCTTTGATATCTTTCCTCCTTTGAAGGCAGAATGCCTGTAGCTCAGTGGACTGCCAGGTGCCAGGCGGCAAGCCCTATGGCCCTAGTTTGGGCCCGGCTTCCCAGTGTAAACAATCAGCCCCTCTCTGGATATTCCTGCAACAGGATTCCCCCAACTGAGGACAGACGGTACGAGCTCTTAGATGGATTGGGTGGTTGTGGTAGCAAAGTGAGGTGAGCAGGGGGTGTAATGTAGTCCATATTTATATGCCATGAGTTATATATACCCCAGATCAGAAAGGGAGTCAGCATGTGCAAAATCCATGTCTCACTTTTTATATGGCAGTGTCAATGTGGGAAACCTCAATATTTCTTCTACGGTATATGGAAAAGAAATTATGTAAATAAATAACCATTACTGTTCAGGCCCTCCCGGCTTAGCCTTTGTAGTGCAGAGAATGTATTTCATGTTGTGCATTCAGAAGAGTTTAGTGTTCAGGAAATATAGATGTAATCAGCTGCCATAACTAGAAATCAAAGTTATTATTGTACTGAAAATGGATTTATTGTATTTATGTTAACTAGGTGGCTCCTTTCAGGGAAGGTCTCATTTATTTGAGGGAATATTTAGGTGTATGAATTAATGAATTTTTTTAAAAGTAAGTTCAGGTCATGACCTAGTCTTTGGATGCTGTCCAGAATATTAAGGATTAAGCATACCATCCGGAGGCCAAATGTGAAAACCACCACAGGGAACCCCCCGTGCCAGCTTCAAATACTTAACTGGAGCAAACCTCATTGGACAATATGTCTAAAACTGTCTTTTCCATCATTCAAAGTTTGCTCAAAAGTTGGATGACTTTGAGAAGGCTTCCCATGAATTCCCTTCTGGCTGGCAATCAAAACAAGTTTAGTCAAAAGTGGAAATGTGTTGTATGAAAGAGGGGGGTGAATTACTACTGACAGCTCTATTTCCATTTTCAGATACTCTGCTTGCAATTTTCCAGCAAAATAATGTTATTGTTCACTTCTTGCCTCCCCCTTGCACCTTGAAGAAACTTCTTTGGGCATTTTTTTTCTTTTTTTCTTTTTTTTTTTTTTAAAGAAACACTTTTCACAGGGATGTTTTAGGATGAAAGTTGAAAGAAAAGCTAAATAATTCCACAGTCTACTCTGCAGCCTTGCCACAGTTCTCACCTCTCTCTCTGGGAAAGGGCAGGGGATCAGAAAAGTCAAGGGAGTTCAAAGAACCTTAGGAAGGACAAGGCCAAGGGAGGAGAGACCTCTCTTGAGAAGACCTCTGTCCAGCTTCGAGTCACATATTCTGCTTCAAGACACCTCACTGGATGAGACTGTAAACCCCCAGCCTCTCTGACACTGGCTTGCTTCCTGATTAATTTGGCTAAAGAGCCCGGTGGTGGAGAGCCAGCCAGCCAGGCCCAGGCCTGCCAGAACTAAGGCAGCCTGGCCATTGCTTCCCAGGCTCTTTGTCACTTGTGAAAAACACGTTTCTATCAAGAAGACTTATTAAGATAAAATGCATTCAAACTCCAAGGAGGCCATTCAATAAATCTTCCATTTGTTTTAAGGTTCTCACTTTTTCCTCTTGCAGAGAACAACTCCCTCTCCCACGA